AAAACATGGATGACATTGATCTGGGCGAGATGTGGTTTCAACAGGACGGCGCTAAGTGCCATACGGCGACCATACGACATACCATCGACTTATTGAAATCAAAATTTGGCGATAAGTTTATTTCGAGAAATGGACCTGTCAATTGGCCTCCAAGGTCGTGCGATTTGACACCTCTCGATTATTTCCTATGGGGCCACGCGAAGTCATTGGTTTATGCTGATAAACCAGCAACAATTGACGCTTTGGAAGCCAACATTGTTCCTGTTATTCGTGACATACGGCCAAAAATGCGACAGACAATGCGTTTCCGTCAAGAACAGCCGCGGTGCCCATATGCCCGAAATCATTTTCAAATGTTAATGTCATGTATTGATGTATGTATGTACTACTGGTTAATATCTTATTCTCAAACTTCCCTAGCGCCCTCTAAGGGGAAGAAATTTATTTAGAAACCCCTTTGATTTTTTTATAACAACTTTTTAACGTCATGGAATATTAACAAAGGGTAAAAAAACATGGGTTGTAAAACTTATTCATTAATGGTCCTTTTTTGTCTCTTTAGTTTTTCCTGTAAAGATACTACCATCCGTGCAAAAAGTCAAGGCCCCTCAGTTTAGAGATCAATATCTGGGGTAAAGTTTATTGTAATCAGTGAACATTTCTGCGTATCACATGTTAATTTGGAAATTTTCGGGTCCGCGGTTTTTCTTTTATCACGAGTTAAGTGAAAAAATTACCCGATTTTTGAAAGTGCCAGCAACTTTGTCTACTTTGTGATTTTTTTTCTCCAAAACTATTTGACGAAAAAATTTCAAATTGAAATTGGTGGTAAACCGATGTGTTCTGAATGTGGCGCATATTTTATTTTTTCGATATTCCATATACCGTATTTTCTCGAATCTTATCCGCACTCGAATCTAATCCGCACCCCGATTTTAAAAATGCATAGTGGTAAAAATATTTAGTTTGCGAAGTAATCCGCATCTTTCTTTGAGCAATTCGACAACAGCAAAACGATGCGATGCTTGTTGTTAACCATGAATATATATGTTTTCTGTTGACTGACGCTGATGTACCTAAAGAAACCTTGCTTACGGCGAGTTTTTATTAGACTAGACTTTAAATTTACCAAGCCAGAAAAAATTGGAAAATAAATATAATTTTAAAAATAAATAGTAATGCCTAGCATGAATGCCGTTCNGCAACGCCATAGACTCGCACATTTGATCGTCTTGTGTATTGTTCTAATTTATCAAGCTTATTTGACAGCGTTTTATTTTCAACATTAAGATCATTAATGTCTTGAGCCATCTGCTTGGTAACCTCGCTAAACTTGTTTTCAACACTTTTTGCGACCATGCCCGCCAATCGGGCAAGAAATTCACTATCGGCCGAGAACATTTCCACAATACAATCTCTTACCACGCTTTTAATTTCATTCAAATCACTTCTAGTGAAAGGCATTTCGATAGCTAGCAAGTTAATAAAGGTCTCAACAATAATCCAAAACACTAGGACTTATTTTAATAAATGTAAAACGAAGAAAACCTTGGAGCTCACCACACACACGTTATTCACTTGTCGCCATATTTGTGAAACTGTTGTGTTAATATCTGAGTCGACAGTGTCTCTTATAAACAGCTTCCTTTCTGGCCGAGTCCAGGTGGTGAGATTGGGAGAGGAATTTTCGGCTTCCTTACCCATGGAGGCTGGTGTGCCTCAGGGATCTTCATTAGCTCCGCTACTATTTACTCTGTACACCTCAAAACAGCCCAAATGTGTTAAACACTCGTCAGTACACATGTACGCCGTCTTGAGAGACGTGCAGTTAAATCCGAATGTTTCTATGATCCGAATGATGCAATAACAAAAACACGCCGAAGGAATGTGCGTACTGAAGAAAATCTCGCCGCTGTAAACGAAAGTGTAGAAGAAAGTCCAAGTGTATCGATTCGTCGTCAGTCGCAGGAATTAGGGCTCTGTCTGTCCACTACGTAGAAAATTTTGCGCAAAGATCTTGGACCACCGTTTAAGATCCACTTGGTGCAGGAATTAAAGCCACGAGACCAACACATGTATCGTTCTTTCGCCGATTGGGCTCTAGAGCAGTTAGAAACTGATTCGATGTTTTATCGCAAAATTGTGTTCAGCATTTTTGGCTTAATGGGTTTGTTAATAAACAAAATGACCGCGTATGGAGTGAAACCAATCCACAACAGACTCTACAGACTCCATTACATTCAGAAAAATGCACCGTTTGGTGTGGTTTGCACGCTGGTGGCATCATCAGACCTTATTTCTTCAAAAATGAAGCCGGAGCTCGCGTTACGGTCAATGAAGATCATTACCGCATCATAACCAATGATTTTTGTTTGAAAACATGGATGACATTGATCTGGGCGAGATGTGGTTTCAACAGGACGGCGCTACGTGCCATACGGCGACCGCAACCATCGACTTTTTGAAATCAAAGTTTGGCGATAAGTTTATTTCGAGAAATGGATCTGTCAATTGGCCTCCAAGATCGTGCGATTTAACACCTCTCGATTATTTCCTATGGGGCCACGCGAAGTCATTGGTTTATGCTGATAAACCAGCAACAATTGACGCTTTGGAAGCCAACATTGTTGCTGTTATTCGTGACATACCCAGAAAAGCGACTCAAAATTGAACGTCCAGAATGCGCTTCGTCAAAAACAGCCGCGGTGCCCATATGCCCGAAATCATTTTCAAATGTTAATGTCATGTATTGATCTTTCGAACAAAAACATTTTTTTGATTAAATAGTTATTTTTCGAACGATTTTTTTTGCTCGCTAAAGCTCGCAACAAAAACTTTCGTTCTCGAATGCAAAAGTGTCATTTCGCTGTCGTGTATCAAACAACATTTTTTCGAAAACTGCGTATTCTAAAGTTATAAATTAATAAAAAGACCAAATTCAGGACAACGTCACATCGAGTTAACCTCACAATTTGAACAAATGTACTCTTATAAATTTGCATTTAAACATGAAATGATACAACAATTAACTGTTGATTATTTTGTGTTTATAATTTGTTCATAACAATAAATTAACAACTAATAGTATCAAATTCTTTGATTGTCGTAGCTGGACGTAAAAGTCATAGAAAAATTAGAAAAATTTATATAGAAGGTCATCTCCCCACTATTTTTTGGTACAAGCACTCCCAAGGGGATTGAGAGGGAACTAATTAAGTTAAAGCGCGAAATTTAAATATAGGTATTTCTATACCGGTTTATACCACTACTTTATTTTGAAGAGGTAAAGCGCATTTTCCAAATAAATAGGAAAAAATATTAATTTAAAGTTTTTCCAAGATAATATTCATAATTTTTAACGTATATTGCTCTCATTGGCTGAGAGCGCCAATTTATCTATCGGATAAACTTATCAAGAGGTGGTAAAAGTGGCCCTAACTTATTTAAATACTTAACTAAAGAATATAAAACACTAAGCCAAATGAACGTAAGGAAGAAAATTTGCTTATACAACGGGGTTATCATACTAAACGACAAAACAAAAATGTGACGTTTGCTTTCACCTCTGAGTTTGACGTGGTTTGACGTTACACATAAATTTTTCTATGGTTTCAAGCGCTTTGTTTGTGTAGATAATGCAGATTGCTGCAAATTCAGTCTACAACGTCATCCAGTGGATTGTGAAGGNTTCTAAAACCCTTAATAAAGTCTTATTATTATAATGTGATTTTATTTTACTATTTTCCAAATTGCATTTGATTTTAGAGCACATAAAATTTGTAAAAAAGGTGCGGATTACATTCCAGAAAATACGGTTAAATCGCTCTTATAATATTAGGGAGCCCTAATTTTGAAACTGGAACTGGGAACTGACAACGGAATCCAATAACCGACATTATTTGACTATTTTGGTCAAATCAGCGAGGAAATTCACCCAGCCGTTTTCGACATAACGGCGTCTTACTAAACCGCGATTTTCCGCGAAAATGTATGGAATATCGAAAAAGTAAAATATCCACTCATTAAGAACACATCAGGCTACCACCTGTTCAAAATTCAAATTTTTTGGTACGATAGTTTTCGACAAAAAAAAATCGCAAAGTTAACAAAGTTGCCGGTACCGTAAAAAATCGTGTACTTTTTTCATTTAACTCGCGATAAAAGGAAAACCATAGATCCGAAAATTTTCAAATTAACATATGTTACGTAAAAATGTTCAGTGATTACAACAAACTTTGTCGCAATTTTTTTTATCGAGCGGTTGCGAAGATATCAATCTCTAAAGTGAGGGGCCTTGACTTTTTGCACGGATAGTAGTTTTAGCGTAAAAAAATAAAATATGTTACATTATAACTGTAAAGCGCTGCTATTATTTAAAAAAATTTTTCTTTATAGCTGGATATGGAAGTTGTGTACTTACTAGGATCTAGTACTAACTAAATAACACCAATTAACTGTGATTTTCATAAGAAAAATCATAAATAAGATGAATGTCTGTCTGAATAAATTACATTGTTTTAAACAATATTAAAAAATTGATACTCTTGCTTAATAACAGTCAAAAATTATTAATAATCATCAACAATTATGAGGATTCACTGTAAATAAAACTTACAAGTTCTCAGAGCTAACTTTTAGAATAATTTTAGCTAAACATGGCGGCACATAGCGGTAGATGGCACGATATTTTATTTTTTTACACAGAAACTATTAACTTTAAGGAAAATACTAAAGAGACAAAAAAGTACCACTACAGAATGAGCTTTACAACCCATATTTGTTTATGTTAATATTCCATAGCGTTATAAAAGTTCTTGTAAAAAAAAATTAAGGGGGTGGTGAATTTCATCCCCTCAGAAGGCGCTGGGGAAGTTTAAGGTATTGTTGAAAATAAGGTCTTAACCAGTAGTAAATACAACACAAAATATAAATTTTTGGCTCAACTTTGATTGCTCATAATTCGAAAACAAAAGAGTTGCGACCCTATGTTTATATAAAAAAATTTGTGTTATTTTAGCAAGTACTACATCCTAATAAAGTTTCCCGTTTAAAAACATCCTGTATATGATTAGCAGGGTCGATGACGTCACAAAAAATGACGTCACGTCGAAACTTTAAAGTGATTTTTCGGTAAGTTTTACTCTTTTCCCCATTTTTTTTTTATTTGCAACTTATTACTTGAGTGATTGTAAGTCAATTAAAAAAAATATGTCGATTTTTAAGCGACATGATGATTCTTAAATTACTTATACCAAAAAATTATTGATTAATAATGTTATCATACTCCGAAAAGAAGAATTCCTTTCCATGGTATTCGTTTTCCAGTGAATAAATGCGGGAACTTTATCGGTAAAATTACAGCTTCTTTTAACGCCTCTTTCGCAGCATCTAATCCAGCAACATCTGACCATTTTACATGAGGTTTTTCAACTACAATCGCATCCTCCAATTGACTTTGTAACTTTTTCTTTTGCGGGTCATCACTGTCGCTATCACTATCACTTTTCTTCTCATCCCTACGATTTTAATTAATTAATTTTAAAAAGAATGTAAAAACTTTAATTTACTTTGAGCCATTTTCCCCATCCTTAATCGGTTTTTTCTTCCCTTTCTTCAAAAATTCTTTTAATTTCTCCGCCCTTTCCAAGTACTGACAACATTTCGATCGAATACTCTCCTTTGCTTTCTCACCTTGAGCCTCATCTACTCGTAACACAAAAAAAAATCAATAAGAATTAGGTTATAACAAAATTATCGGTTCTGATAAAAATCCTTACATTTAATTGCATGCAAAAAATATTCAACCCCGTGTTCGTACAATCGTAACGCTTCCTCGTAGTTTTTCTTTCGATCTTCGTCGGTTGCGCGAGTAACCAATTCGATGGCTTTTGTGAGTGTTGGCCCAGAAGTCATTGCGGACTCTTTTCAACCTATAAATCTAAATGATTCACACTTTATAGATTATAATCTTGATTTTTCTATCTACTTATAAATAATATACGTTTTGATTACTAATACAGATGACAGTAACTGTCAGACGGTTGCTGTCATTTTACTTGTCAAATTACTTACCGAGTATTACCAACAAAAGTGGCGTAATAGGGCGATACCCTTGCAATTTTATGAATTAAAAGGGTTTTTATTTAATTTGATACAGGTATAGATATGGTTTGTATGGTAAATGAGGTGGGTATTGATAATTTTGATTCACAGTATAAATTTAGAAATTACAAAAAAATTGAAATGTTTTTTTTGGTGAGGTTGAAAAATCCCTAGATTCAAGGTTAATATGTTAAAATTTATTTTTGGAATAATAACTTTAATTATATCGATATTTATTGATTAAGAAATTATTTTAGTTATTTTAATATGTTCTTAATATATTGTAATTAAAATTGTAAATAAATAAAATAAATTTCAAAAAATGTATCAATTTTTTTTTATTCAATCCATATAAATATTTAATTTATTATTATTATTTCTTCTTATTGCTCCTAAGTATTAATTACTTATAATTTATTTGTTTTTTATAATTAAGAAATAAACTTTATTTTTTCACAAATAAACAACATTGCGCGCCATCTGTTATTGTTTTTAAATAAAATATTTCAAGAAATTATTTAATGTTAAGATTATTAAATTGTTTTTTAATTAAATTCCCATTTTATGTAATTAATCGCCTTAATATATTAAAATATTTAAAAATCTGATTATAAGTAAAATTTTTAATTTTTTTTTGATTTCCCCGCGTTATGTCAAATATGATAAGTAGTGACACCTGTCGTAAGTAAACACCGGAAAATATGTAATACAAGTTTATCACTAAGGAAAAAAAAATATTTTCGATGAAATACCTAAATTAATCTGTTATTCTCACGTTGTGCTTTTAAGTGATAACTAAAGTGAATCTAACCTACATAAATAAGGTGACGCCCAATTGTTTAACATAACCTGCTGACGTGTACTGTTTTAATAGGGGAATACCCCTGTAACAAACATTTTGTGTAATTTTAGATCAGTATTTCATCATTCTCATGTAGTATTGGCCATTAACACCGTTAAAATGGCGTTAGATACGAGCGAATTTACAGCAAGAAATTATCAAGTGGAGCTTATGAAAATAGCTCTATCTCAAAACACCATCATTTTTCTTCCAACAGGTTCTGGAAAAACGTATATAGCTATCATGATTTTGAAACAAATGTCCGAACCATTAGCAAAGTAAGTATTGATATTTCCAGTTTATTCCAGTGGGGTTGAGGTTATGAAAACATTTTATTAATAGAAATTGGTTGGAAGATGGGAAAGTTACAATTATGGTTGTAAATACGGTTGCTTTAGTTCACCAACATGGTGATAACATTCGGAGACACACCCCTTTTAAAGTTGGGGAATACACCGGAGAACACAATTTGGATTTTTGGGAAAAAAATATTTGGGATCAACAATGTACGGAGCATCAAGTTTTAATCATGACTGCTCAAATTTTATCTAATGGTTTGGAGAGGAATGTGTTAGGTATGAGTCATTTATAAATTTTTATTTATAAACCCATTTATGGCCAAGGTAGAAAATAATTGTAAATTTTAGAAGAAATTAGTGTTTATTGCAAGAATATATTAACTAAGGCCCACCCATACCTGTTATGGTAATAATAAGAAAAGAATTCCATGTCTCTTTGTCAAGTGGTAATAGGTATATTTTTGAAAATGTTAAAAATTGTTCCCATATATCATATCTTTAGGAACTACAGTCAGAAATGACCCAATTTAATAGTGATTTTTTAAATAATGTATTCCTTATGAACCATGCTACTATAGAAGTCATAAATCAAACAAGAAAAGTCATTAGTTTTGCAAAAAAAATTAGTTTTATTGAGTTAAGGTTGAAAGAATTTATGTCAGATTCCAAAATGGTATAACACTTGCCATTTTTCGTTTCTTAAAAAATATCATTGCCTGTTTTTCTGCAAAAAACGCGTTATTTAAAAAATTCATACCATATCATATTTGTATTTCCTCCAAAATAATTTAACACCTTGTTAGAAAATGTACTATTTAATATCTACAAAGAAATGTGGTTTCAACAAGATGATTGCCCATCTCATTATGCTTGTTCTGTACAGGATTGAATACAGAATAAGATAAATTGGGCGTCTTGGTTTGATTACATGGCCTCCTCATTCCCTAGGCCTAAATCCCCTTGATTTTTTTAATAAGGATTGCATAAAAGAAAGTGTATTAAAAACGGATTGAAAATCTTGAAGTACAGCGCTACAATATTTATACAGTAGCAGAAGAAATAAATGCACAAGTAGTAAAAAGATCTTTTCTGCGATGATACAGAGTTCGTATTACCGCCGACGGCAAACAATTTGAGCATTTGCTTTAGTTTTATGAAAATAATGCAATAAAATTAATAATAAAAAAATTAATAATTCCTTTTGTAAAATCAATTATTTTACGTGACATTAGTTTATAATAATTTTTATAAACAATGTAGTTTTTAGAAAATGTATTTTAAATTAAAAAGAAAACTATACTTAACTTGAACAAATTCTAAACTATACAATTAACAAAAGACCTAGATCTAGAATCATTTGGGTTTACCTATCTTGAGAGACCTGCTGCTAATCCCAAATGATTCTAGTTCTAGGTCTTGTATTAGTTCTAGTGATCATGTTAGTGCAAAACCAGAACTAACACTATACCTAGAACTAGAAACATTCGGGTTTAGCTGCCCGTTTCTCTTACTTCTAAGTCTAATGTTAGTTTTAGTTTTAATTGTTTTGCAGCGCTAGACCAAGAACTAGAATTATTCGGGTTTAGCCGTCTTAAGAGTCGTAGGCTAATCTCAAATGTTTCCAGGTCTAATGTTAGTTCTAGTGACAGTGCAAGTATACAGAGTGTCTCACGTAACTGGTTCGTTAGAACTTTTTTAGGTTCCAGTGATTAAAGTTTTACAAGGTTTACTTATAAGTAATAATTTAAAAATGAAACTTTTAGAAAATTGTTGTTTTATAGGCAAAAAAAATTACTGTTAACAGAAAAACAAAAGAAAGCCAGGCTCACATGGGTATAATCTAAACTGCCTTGGTCAGCAGAAGATTAGTCCAGGGTAATATTTAGCGACGAATCGAAATTTGATGATTTCCGTAAACGCGTAATTCGCAATAAACATTTCATAAAGATTGTTTAAAGCGTTGCGTTGTGTAAAATTTCCGAAGGGAATGATTTGCGGCTGTATGACAGCTTCAGGATTAGGTTGCTTTGAATTTATTGATGGCCCTGAACGCTGCAAAATATCAACAAATACTATAAAACAGCTTACTACCAAGTATCGTGAAATTAAATCTTGGCGAAAATTACATATTTCAGCAAGATGGAGCGGCTTGTGGTTTAGCAATGTTCTGTCTTGGCCTTCCAACAGTCCAGATCTGAATGTAATTGAAACAGTGTGGCACAAAATGAAACAAACTTTGAGGAACAACCCACAACGGACATTGCCAGAACTTAAAGCCAAAATAAAACAAATTTGGGATGGATTTACTCCTGAACAGTGCAGAACCTTAGCGAATTCAATAAAATATAAAAAAAATATAAAATACTCCATATTAGAAATACAAATCGTGCCATGTCCCAATATTTAGTTGTCAGGCAAAATGTACATTTTTCTAGTTTAATTAGAAGTAATAGGATATGTATTTTTTTTTGTGTTCATTAGACAAAATTGTTGTTAATTGTCTAATCAAATGATATTAATTTGAAAAATTTATTAAAACACAATAATTGTTTAATTGTTGTTAATTAACAACACCCTGTATAATTATACAGGGTGAGTTTTTTCCATGTTTAGTATGGAGATCTCGAAAACTAGCGGAGATAGAGAGACGACTAAATAGGGACAGAATTGCAGTTTCATGAACTCAACTTAATGAGCTTTTTGTTTTTTGGATAAAATGCATGGCTAACTAGATATCTCGAAAAAACAGTTTTTTTTTGTTATATCGTTCAATACCTATGGCTTCGCTATTATTGATTAGGAAAAATGTGTAAAGGAAAATTTTGTAGGACATTACATGTTTCATAAGCTGTCTAGCTGATTTTTTTTATTTACGCAATAATTTTTGAGTTATGACACAAACTTGTAATTTTTCTAATCGAAACCATAGTTGGCAATGACTTTATAAAAAAGGCGTTTTCTCAACGATTCTAATGATATAGTAGACGCCACGAGAGCTGGCAGTAAATCATCATTTTCCGCTCTTACAAATGCCATACGTAGTTCACAAACCGCTAGAGAGTAATGTGTGTTAGAAAGAGATAGCATTAGTTTAATATGTCTCCTGTACAATTTAAATGGCCACGTCGAAAATGTACGTCTGTTCTTCTAAGGGATGTAATTCTATAATTATAACCTCAAATCGAAACGTCTTGTAAGCGTTGTCATGAATCTGTTAGTGTTTTCATAAGTCGAAAATGTTTTCTTTGAAAGGAAAATCATTAAGATATTATCTTTGACAATGTTTGACATATAACCTCCATTACTAACATAAGCTACATTTAAATGTATGTAGTGAAATAATCTAAGTCGTACGTCCATATCTTGATTCATACCATTTTTAAGCGATCTGTCCCTGCCAGCTCTCGTGGTTTCTACTATATGAATATTTTTATTAATAAATAAATTATAGCCATTTATTCTTTTAATTTGTAAACTGTTCAGGTAGTATGCTATGGAAACAATTGATAGATACGTAAAGTGAAGATAACGATCTCTGTTTAACGTATCATAAAAAATGTACGGACCAAGAATTCTTGAAGAAATGACACCGCACAAAACATTAAATCCAAGCTTAACTTCAGGTCTCCTCTCTTGAACATGGTGCGGATTTTCCTGCATCCATAAATGTTGATTATGTCTATTAAACATGCCGCAGTTTGTAAATCGTGTTTCATCTGTCCACAAAACTTTAATCTAAGCTAATTCACATGTTAACAAACCACGGATTCGTGTTAATACATTTACTTCCGTCTTGCATCGTTAGTTGGTTTACAGAAAGAACCATACTCACCCAAATTATCAGCCTCTTCAAAGTAGTTAGAGAAGACTGACGACGATCAAAATACTGTTCTGCAGCTTGTATTGCATTTTTATAGCATAAAATGTAACACTCAATGATATCACGCTTTTATCAGCATTTATTGATTAGAAAAATTTATATTCATTATAATTTACAAAACCTCAATCAACGTTAATTAGAAACTAAACGAAACATAGTTTGCCTTAAGCTGTCATAACCAAACGTATCTATCAATTGTTTCCATAGCATACTACTTGAACAGTTTTCCAATTAAAAGAGGCTGTAATTAAAAAATTAAAATTAAAAATAGCTATAATTTATTTATTAATACAAATATCTATGTCAAGTGGCATATCATTAGAATCGTTGAGAAAAGACCTTTTTTATAAAGTCATGGCCAGCTATGGTTTCCATTAGAAAAATTACAAGTTTATATACAGGGTGTCTCACGTAACTGGTTCGTTAGAACTTTTTAAGGTTCCACTATTCGTAGTGGTTTGAAATTTTGGTAGCATGGGTTGTTCATTCTAAACTTTCGATCTAAAATATTTTCAAGATGGCCACCCCTTCCGGTCTACCGGAAGTAGACCACAACTTCGTTATTTTAAATGGAATGCTATAGTTTTTATTACACCTTTCAATTATACGTAAAAAAATATGTTGACTTTGATAAAAGTTGTTGGTACCTAGCGTTTTTTGTTTTCGAGTTATTTTGATTTTAAGTGTTTTTTGACAAATTTCACCATGGTCTTTAAAAGCCCATATCTCAGCTAACGATCATTCAAAAAAGCTCTGCATTGGCACGACTACTCTACAGATGCTGCCAAATAGATTGTCATTTGTTGTATCAGAGAATCTTATACAGGCTGGTCAAAAATTGAATTATCGTTTCTCAATATTCAATTGCGAGAAAGTCGAAAATTTTAAATGGAACACCCCATATTTCTTTACCCTATCAGAAAGGGAATTTAATTCTCTACAAATTATCTATAAACATTCCTATACCTATTTATTGTAGTTTCCCTGATATTGGAAAATTAATCAAAATCAGACATAGAATCCCAAAGCCCGTTTGTGTTTTTGTTAGCAGGCCAAGACATTTTGACAGTTCATCGTTTAATTTATTTAAATTATTATTGGTATTATTTCTACAATTAACTATGGTTGAATAACCTTTAGCTTGCTCGCTTTTATTTACCAAAAATAACCAACAGAAAAACGAATAAATGAAACAATGAAAAACAACAATTTAATAACAGAAATTAGAATGAATAACATATAAAAAAACAAAAACTTAAAATTATAAAAAAATTAAAACTGTTCGATATGCTGACCATTCACCATTAAACATTTTTCAACTCTTCTTTCGACTTCTACGGTTGTGGCCCGTAGAAGTTGGTCGCCATCAATAGTACGTAGTGCACGCATCACTCTATCACGCAACTCTTGTCGTGTGTTGATCGGTGAATTGTACACTTGATTTTTTAAGTGACCCCACAAATAAAAATCCAATGGTGTTAAATCTGGAGATCGTGGAGGCCATTGCCATGAATATAAAACAAATTTAAAATATCGGCGTTGGAATAATTTGCCATGATATACAATGACTTTCACTCGTGATCAAAAGTAAGTAACAACAACAATAACACAAATATGGACCAAAAACTGTCAAAATTCCATTGCCTTCTAATAAAAAAATCAAACGTTTTCCCGCATTCCGTGCATGCTTTGATTAATGTCCCAATATCAGGGAAACTACAATAAATAGGTATAGGAATGTTTATAGATAATTTGTAGAGAATTAAATTCCCTTTCTGATAGGGTAAAAAAATACGGGGTATTCCATTTAAAATTTTCGACTTTCTAGCCATTGAATATGGAGAAACGGTAATTCAATTTTTGACCACCCTGTATAAGATACTCTGATACAAGAAATGACAATCTATTTGGCAACATCTGAAGAGTAATCGTGCCAATTTAGAGGTTTTTTTAATGAACGTTAACTGAGATATAGGCTTTTAAAGAGCATGGTGAAATTTGCCAAAAAAAGCTTAAAATCAAAATAACTCGAAAACAAAAAATGGTAGGTACCAACAACTTTTATCAAAGTCAACATATTTTTTTATGTATAATTGAAAGGTGTAATAAAAACTATAGCATTCCATTTAAAATAACGAAGTTGTGGTCTACTTCCGGTAGACCGGAAGTGGTGGCCATCTTGAAAATATTTTAGATTGAAAGTTTAGAATGAACAACCCATGCTACCAAAATTTCAAACCTCTATGAATAGTGGAACCTAAAAAAGTTCTAACGAACCAGTTACGTGGGACATCCTGTATATATTTTTATATTTTTTTTGTTGAGAAAATCGTTTTAGATTTTAATTTAGAACAACTTTTGTATGAAATTTTCTGTTGAGAACGAGTGGAGGGGGGAAATCGTATCATTTTGTTACAAAAGTTCTGTGCCCTAATTATCTCATTCTAGGTAAGTATGTAGCCGTTTTTAGATATGTCTCAGATTCTCTGTTTTACAACCATTTTTAGGTACATTTTTTATCGATAAATACGACATTTCTTGTAAAATCGTCACCATTTCCAAATCCTACGTAGTTCCCTACTTTTTGAGTTTACTAAAGTAATCGTATTCAAGTTTTAACTTACGCGTTAGGAGAAATCCTGCGCACAGTTTGATCCTGCACGATTTGCAAGCCTAACATTACCGACATCTAGCGGGTGCAATTTTAATAACTGTTAATATATAAAATATGTATTTAAAACTAGAAAAGTGGCTTATTCACACCCTACAACCCGTTTTTAGAAAACTTCTTTCGTCTAATTGCAAAAAAATTTTAAAAATAACACCGCTAAACCCGAATGATTCTACTTCTTGGTCTATCGCTGACTACTACTTTAATGGGTTTTAATTCAAAATTTTTTTTTGATCAGATTTAAACAAAATCAATTTATTAATTTTCGACGAATGTCATCGCGGAGTTCAAGATCAACCTATGCGGCAAATTATGATGAATTTCCAACACGCTATTGACCCACCTAGAGTTTTAGGATTAACTGCAACATTATTAAACGGAAATTGTACTCCAGGACAGGTTGAAAGGAGCGTCGCAGAATTAGAGGTTACGTTTCATAGTAAAGTGGCTACCGTTGATGAATTAAGTAGTGCTCAAAGGTTCAATTCGATCAATTAATCGATTTTAATAATTTTTAATCAATTTAATTTGTAGGTTTTCGACTAATCCAAATGAACGTATTATATCTTACATTAACTATAATTTATCAAACGTCGATAACACAATTGTAAATGAATTAAATCATTTAATACATGTTTTATTAAATGTGACGTTAAAAAATAATCAAAAAAATGATTCGCCTCACCGAAAAGAATTATCGGATCCTAATAAGGACGTTAAAGAATTAGCTAATATAATCAAAGACACGATATATCATTTGGAAGCTTTGGGAAGTTACGGTGGATTATTAACCATAAACGCCCATCTAATCCAAATACAATGTATTAAAAAAAAATGTACCGATTCGAAATTGCTACTTTTAATCAATGGAACTATAACATCCTTAACATTTTGCAAACTCCTTTTAAGAGGGTTATTTACCGGGAGGATAAGAGAAGACATCATTGTTTATTCATCCCCTAAAGTTATAACTTTATTAAATATTTTATCAACGTACAGAAAAAATAACTCATTAGAGAACTTTTGTTCAATCATTTTCGTCCAACGCCGATTTACAGCAAAAGTACTTTATCAATTATTAAAATTGCTCGCTGAAAACGATGAAAACTTCAGCTTTATAAAATCTAATTTTGTCGTTGGATACACGGCCAATCCTCTAAATAACACACGAGAAGCAATGTATGGCTCCAAAGTTAATCGGACCATAATCAAAGAATTTTACGCGAAATCCGTTAATTTATTAGTCGCGTCGAACGTATTAGAGGAGGGTGTCGATGTTCCTATGTGCCAATTAATCATTAAATTTGATGAACCCAAGGATTATAGAGCTTACATTCAATCGAAAGGGAGAGCGCGACACAAAGAAAGTTATTATTATATTATGGTTGAAGAAACGAGTTTGTACAAATACAAAGCGAAATATGCGATGTTTCAGGAATTAGAACAAAAATTAAACGATGTAAATTAAATTAAAGGATTTGTTAATTTTATTAATTTATTTAATAACGTTTTTTTTTATTGTTCAGTATTTGATTGGTAAAAACGAAATTAGAAGTTATCCTGACCAGAAGCAAATAAATGAGATGTATAATGAGCATGAAATTGAGCCTTATTATACACAAGGCCCTGGTTCGGCTCAAATTAATATGGTTTCTGCTTGTTCTTTATTATCGTCTTATTGTAATTCGTTTATGGCGGATATTTATACGCAATATGCCCCGAATTGGTATATTGAATTTGGGCCAGGAAAGACTTGTAGAGTTATTATTGAATTACCAACGGTGTGTCCTTATGTAGAACCAATTGAAGTAAGTATTTTTTGTTTTGGGGATGTAGAGGATGATTTAAAAGTGGAGTAGCAGTGGACTAGTAAATGTAAAATAATATACAGGGTGATTTATTAGCTCACCATCAAATTTTGACATATGATAGATAATCCAATTACAAAAAAAAAAGTTTATCAATTATTTACGAAATTATAACACTTTAAAGTTTTTTTGCAGCGAATTTATTAATAGTCAGTAAAATCAAACATTTAACAAAAACAAAGTTGTCATTGTAATATGTCAGTTTGCTGTAAGGTTTAATTATTACATACTTTTGTATTGTACTTTTGTGTTTTACGTTTGCTGATATTAATAAATAGTAATATTCGTGTATGGTTTTTGTAATGGAAATGCTCTCTCAAAGATTTCTACGTCATTTGCCATATTATTCAGTTTTTAGCGATTCTTTCAGAAGACTTCGAGAAACAGCCTCCATTTTGAACAATATTTGTAATATATAAAAAAAGGGGGATCTGAGCATGACTGTGATAAATATCTCAAAAAATAATGGAAATAATTAGACATTTCAAAACTGTCTTCAACATTTTAATAGTATACAGACACACTATTGTACTACAGCCTATTGTGAGTGCTGCTTATTTTGGGCTAAATTGCCCCAGTTCTGCACCTACAGGGTGATCAAATCCTACCTAAGATTGTCCATCCATCACCCTCTTGGTCAACGGCACTCTCTCTGCCAGCGTTCTTCACACGTGTCTCAGCCACCTCCGTCTCTGGGCTTTAATCCACGTTGATAATTCTGATCCTTCCTGCAAAGCTCTTATTTCGTAGTTCATTAATTATCTCGATCCTCCCAGATTTGTATCATATTTTGGCCCATATATCCTTCATCTTTTTTTCATCCCTGTTTTAATAACACTTGGTGAAAATTATTGAGTGTCCATGTTTCGGATCCATAGTTTACTATACTTTTTTTCCTTAATTTAAAAAAAAAATGTTGCAGTTAATTATGATATCAAAATTAAAACTTTAAAGTGTTATAATTTCGTAAATAATTGAAATAGGACATATTATGTTCAATAACATTTTTTTTTTATAGTTGGATTAGCTATCATATGTCAAAGTTTGATGGTGAGCTAATAAATCACCCTCTGTATAATAATCACTGATGATTTTATTCCTTTAAAATATCAAGAAAAAACAAACAACGAATTTCAAAAACTAAAACTAACAGAAAATTTAAGACTGGAGCAAAGGTGAATTTTTAAAGAGATAATGCGAAATAAAGCTATGGAGGTGTGTGGAATAGACGAAGTGAACACACTGGTGGAATCAAAAAGTCAGATAGGTAATCAAGAAGAAGAAAGAGCCATGGAAGTAATACATCAGAACGATTTCTCAAGAGGATAGAGAAAACTATAGAACGAACAGAGATGTAGCTGAGAATATGATGAGGGGAGCGAAAAAGAAACTTAAGTAAAACATACGGATCTGGAAACAAATAAGAAAACTGAAGGCAGATCAAAGGAAACAAATAAAAACAACGAGATAAAGACAACTAGAAAGGAAATTCTGAACATATGGGCGGATTTTTATGCAGAAAAGTTCAAGGATTGAAAACGGACACAAACAATGCAGGACTATCTTGACCTGATCCCGAACAGAATTGTCACTTATCACCTTTCTTGTTCCGAATAAAATCAGCTCCGTTTTAGCAGCATTCAGACAAAGGCAGTGACCTCTAGAAACCAGCCCCGAAGCCTCTATATCCGAAGTCAGACCAAAACAAGTATCATCGACATCCGATGGCAGAAAAGATATACATATATTACTGGGTGTCATCCGCGTAGAAATGATGATTACAACTTTTTATGTACCTGTTAAAATGCGATGTGTAAAGTGAGTATAGCAATGAACCCAAAATTGAACCCTGAGGAACACCGGACGTTGTCGAAAGAAACGATGAAACGCGACCATTCACCTTCACGCAATGCATTCTGCCCGTCAAGTAGCTGTACAAGAACCCCGATGCAAGATCATCAAACCCAATGTAGCGAAGCATCATCAAATCATGATTGATAGTATCAAAAGCCTTTAAATAATCTAAGAGACACATCAAAGTCAATTTCCCTTGGTCTGTGCTTCCTATGACATCGTCCATAATATTCGATAGAGCTGTATTACTGCCATAATGCTTTCTAAAACCTGACTGTGTAGGCGATAAAAGGTTGTATTCCGTTACATAGTCCTTTAATTCTGCTTCGATTACTCTTTCTGTAATTTTTGACAATACCGGCAAAATGTTAATTGGCCGAAGGTCTTTGAAGTAGTGGGGAAGACGAAGTGGGATAGGATAAGAAATGAAGAAATAAGACTGCGAGTAGATCAAGAGGAGATAATCAGCAAAATAGAGAGAAAGCCACTAAACTGGTACGCCCACATAATTAGAATGGAACATAACACAATAGTAAAAAAGGTATTTGGCGCAAAGAATAAGGATAGGAAGTAGTGGGAGGAAAGAATAGCAGAAGTTGGAAAGAGGGAAGACTTTAGCAGATATAAAGGAATTAGCCAGGAACCGGAGGTAGTGGAAGAAGTGGATGGAGAAATAGGAAAAAGATTTATCGGACGCCATCAGTCATAAGGATCAGGAGAAGACATCTACATTAACTTAGTTGGACTTCCACCCATATCTAAAGAATACATATACTGCCTAACATGAGGATTAACTTCTAGGTTGGTCCATGACAATTCCAGTGGATCAACACTCTCTTCTCTGGCGAATTTCGATGCAAGAATAGAAGAACGAGGAGATGACTAAATTCTTTACACCCATGTTGCAATAGCTCACATAACTAAGTGCATGAACGACGTCTATAGTGACTAGAAAACATCCCAAATATGGAGATCTCTTTGTTCGTTTAAACTTGGCCTATGGATCTTATACTGGCGGATAGTGTCGGATTGGCTTCTCTCTTGGGATCACCGACCAACTACAACCCATCCCCTGTCCTCCGAAAACCACCTGTGGAGCATTATTTTGAAAAGTATACCTACAGGTGGTAGCCGTACATACGCCGATCCCAAGGCATACAGACTAATTAACCTAACTTCATTTCTCCTCAAAAGGATAAAAAAGGTAATTGATCAAGACTTTAGGAATGGAGTGCTTGTCACTAATCCACTCCATCCAAGTCAACATGCTTACCAGAAAGTAAAATCAACAATGACTGCTCTCACCTCTCCTATGGTGCCTGCTAGTTGATGACTTGCATCAACATCTTAACAAAAAATGGATTAATGATTCAGGGGTATGCTGATGACCTGATAATCACAATCCGAGGTAAATATGATACAATCATAACTCACCTAATGCAGAAAGCCCCAGTATTTACCAGCACTTGGTGCAGAAGCAATAGGCTCAGCATCAATCCAAACAAAAATTGAGAGCACCCTCCATTGAAGGCAGAACTATTAACCTCAAAACAGAAGTTAAGTACCTAGGGGTAATACTAGACAGTAAATTAAACTGAAACTCCTACATAGACAAGGTGAGGAAAAGGCCATTATGGCAAACCAGATCTGCTGCAGGCTCCTAGGAAGGAACTGTGGTCTCAAACCACGAATGGCTCATTGTAAAGTGTAAAGAATGGCCTACGTAGCAAGAATCAGACCCATGGTCGCCTATGCCTCACTGGTTTGGTAGCCAAAAACAAATCATAAGACAGCACAACAACAACTGACACAAATCAAGCGGTACTCTATCTTAGAGGACACCTCGAAATTCTTAAGGACCCATGTCTAAACCGCTTGATTGAAATTAAAACGAACCTTATACCCACAAAATACAATATCGACCAGCCGTATAATATCATATTTAGAAGCAGGGATGTTTGGACGAAGGGTGGGCCTAAACTAAAACGTGGAGCCCTTGCCTGGTACACGGATGCTTCAAAGACAGTTGAATCCGGAGTATATACAAGGTGTCTCAGCGAGACCGGTCATTAGACGTTTCTGGGGTTCTGGCGAAAATAAAAATTTGAGAATTCAGACTTAAGTATTATCAATTACGATCTCTTCGACTAAAATATTTTCAAATTTCTTGCACTTCCAATTATACCGGAAGTCGCCACCTACTTTATTTTTTTAAATGGAACACCCTGTATATTTTTACATATTTGGATTTGTCTGTTTTCAAGGTTTATAAATAACTTTACTTTTTGCAATTTGATTCGGCCGTTCTCGAGTTATTCGAATTTTTCTAGAAAAATCTGCTCCAGCAGACATTTGTTCAAAAAATCAGAGAACACTCGATTTTTGCGATATCAATTTAGGATTGAGAACATGCTTAAGCAACATGATGGAGTATGTTTTAGTGCCGAGAACTGCTGTCTAGAACGTTTGGTCACTTTACTATGGCACGTTAACTTTTCAAAATTTGGAAGTACCATAACTTAATTTTTTTAAATGGCATCCCCCATATTTTATTACTTAGTCGTATTCGGCGTCTCATTTTACATCTTTTATACTCCATATGTCCTATGCCTAACATTAATAGTTTGAGAAATAATTAGGGTTTTTTGAAAAATGCTCACATATATCGATATTAACCTAGTGTGCCATGGAAAACAAATGTTTAATGACTTATTGACAAACGTCAAAGTCTGATTTACGTTGTATGATGCTTGTGAGTATAAAACCAGTTAAAATGAATATTAATAACTTAAATAATGTTTATACAAAAGTGCGACAAAGTTCTTAGTAGAACTTGCAGAATGTTTAATGAAAATTATCCACATTTACCTCCGATGACAAAAAGTAAATTTAGAAGAATAGAAGCAATTTTTTTGCATTTTGGGCGAATTAATCACGTGTTAAACTGACCAAAAAATGTAGTAGATAATGCAACGGAAGAGGTGAATGCCTTGGCTTATTTCGAGCCCAGTCCCAACACCTCAATTCGAGCTGCCAAAGAAGTTCTGGGAATCATACTACGAACTTTGTCGCGCTTTTCATGCAAA